TTGTTCATCTCTGGAGCGTGCCTAATGTGAAGGTAGCAAAAAGAGTCGCAATTAATAAGCAGGCATATCATGGTACTCGGCGTGCATTTAGCTGTGCAGCAAATATTCGGGCATTGCACCAAGTGCTAAGAATTTCAAAAAGTACGAAAAATAATGAAAAGTTGTAAAGCTATCTCTCTAAAACATTTATGCCAACATCAGGGAGACATGCTGAATATTTGTGCCAATTTTGAATCAACATTTGTCAAGTGTTAAGAGAGTTAGCTTCCCTAAGCCCCCCCCCCTTTGAGAGATAAAAAGGATCTGAATGCGTTTGTGTGTTCGCTTCTTTGTGATATTTGTTTTCAGCTTGGCTATGATTTTGATATTTATTAGCTGACCTGCATAAGAAGAAAACTCTTGTTAGCTTCCGTATAGTGTTACACTTCTGGGCATGTGTAGGGGTGCTTTCATTACAGTCATGCTGTGAAGCTTATCTCTGATGCAGTACTTTCATTTCATGCAGGACCTGTACTCTGCATTTGACAGCAGTCGGTGGTTGCCAACAGAAGGGCTGGACCCACCCTTGGTCTCTGTCAAGTGACATTTGAAATAAATATATTTGTACTTGTCCATTGTGTTGCTGCTCATTTGTTACATAATTGTGTTTCTTGAAAACTTCTGTAGCATGCAAATTCTGTTTTGTACGAATTGCTGACCATATTGGAGAAATGTGACAACTTCAGTAGGCTTGAGCACAAATGAATGGCAAATACAAAACGAGAGGCAAAAATAAAAAGAGAGAGTCTTAAACAGGACAGGCACTATGCTTCCAAACATGTTCTGAAGTTTACATGTTTCACTATCATAAGTTCATTATTAGCGGAGAAAATCAAGGTTGAGGTTGCAGTTTTAAATTTTGTGCCAAAATTTCCACACAGGATGTCACTGATTTAAAAATGTACTTTTCGTATTTTGATCACATTGGATAGCGAAAATTTTCGGAAACTTCGTATGCTAGGTCTGTGGCACCCACAGCTGACAGTGTACTTCATTTTTACCGATAAGAAGCTACATAGGACTTGCTCTACGCCTTAAGTATCAATGACTTCACGGTGTTTGGAGGGGAATGCCGAGTTAGCGTTTCCACCCACATTTTCTTTTCACACGTTTTCTTGCTTACCAAGCACTGTCTTGTGTTAAAAATGTTTTCGGGATTGTGAAATTGTACTTTACTAATAAGCAAAAAATTGTTTTTTTTTTAGTGTCCCTTCAATTTTTTCCTTTGGGCGCACACAAGGTGTGTGTGAGGAGAGCTTCTTGATAAGTGCATCACATGCTTTTTTCAGAGCAGTATGCATTGTGGAACAGCACTATCACCATCTGCGCAGGAACTTTGCCTGAAAAACATTTTCTGTGCATTAAAGAAAAAAACTTGTCTGAAAGCTTTCAGTGTAGAGTGCTGTAGTGCCCCATTCACTCCACCTTTTCATTAACTTGCCATGCTTCAAAACCCTGTGTGAACAACTCATGCTTATCGTGAGGAAACCACATTGCATGTGCCATAGTTTCCTACAATACTTACTAGAGGAAAATGTGGAGCCACGATCATTTAGCCACTACAAGAATTAAGGGTAGTACGTGGATTTGCCTAGTCTTGGGCATTGCGGACTTGAACATGCTTGTGGCTTTGTTCATTGTTGTGTCTTGGCTTTTTATCAGGTAAAAAGAATGGCTCATTCTGAATCTCGCAAGTGGATTTGCATTGGTCAACCTAAAATGATCATGGGAGTGGGACTGTTGAACTTGGTGCAATTAATTTATACATGGCACCCATTCAAGTTGCCTGAATATTTGACTAGGTACTGTGCGTTCTCATTTGTAACAAAAGGTGCAGCATGCTTTTCCTTAAAGCTGTGTTCCAACTAGTCCAGCAACAAAATCTTCTAAATAGCATTGCTTCCCTGTTGGCTATGTCTCGAAATCCTTTTAACCAGCGACGTGGCAATGCCTATGGTATGCGCTTGCAGTCCATGTCAACCCACACTCAGGAATTCGATTGCTCAAAGGAGACTGTGTGCCATCGATGGCGATGTTGCTGATGGGTAGAAAATCCCGACAGAAGCAAAGAATAAAAATTGCAACTCAAGCTGGGATGGAACACGGGCACTGTGTGGCAGTCAAGTATTCTACCACGAAGCGATGCCAGTGCTTCTAACTGGTTCAGAAAAAGACCTCGTGCAAGTGTTGTTCTGGGACGTCAGTTGTGGTTGTGGTGTGGTCATCGGCTTTTATAAAAATGTAACGAGCACTACATATGCATACCTATGACTCTGCAAGGTATAGTTGAATGTTACTCGAATGAGCCAATGACATTACGTGTGTACATCATCGCACCATAGCTTGCACTTAGTTGCAATACAACTGATCCCCGCTCTAACGTGAGCTGCGTTAGACATGATTGTGTACACAATTGTACACATGACTGTGTATTGGCATGCCAGCTGCTACAGTGGTCTAGTCGTTATGGTGCTCGACTGCTGACCCGCAGGTTGAAGGATTGAATACTGGCCGCAGCGCCTGCATTTTTGATGGAGGTTAAAATGCCAGAGGCCCAGGTACTTAGATTTAGGTGCCCGTTAAAGAACCCCAGGTGGTTGAGATTTCCGGAGTCTTCCACTATTGTGCTCTGATAATCATATTGTGGTTTTGAAATGTGAAAACCCATCAGTTATTAATTACTCAGTATTGCTGGCAAGCCCATGATATGGGCACAACTACGTAATTAAACTAAATATGTCTAACCACTTTGAAACTATTGATTCAAATTGAAAAATCTTGTATAGGCTGTTACTCTTTCCCTAATTTGCACCGTATTTATCCCCACAATGCGTGGGATCTACCAGGGTTTTCTTTTGCATTGATGAAGACTTTTTGCTTATAAATTACACTTAATTTTTAAACCAACCTCACCGACATTGGATGTCCTTGACACGGACTCTTTAACATTCTCACACGAACATTTCTGCTGCAAGCGATTGGTAGCAGCTCGCACTTATGCCTCCAATTTGTGACGATCAGGAGCCTTGACCGATTGCATTTGACAAAAATGTTTGCTTGAGAACAAGTACTTTGAACTTTATACTGCGTTTCAGCTGGTTTCAGTCATTGTAAGCGACACAATGCTCAGCAAGTTCTACAATTTCTTACAGTACTGGTTCAACATATGCACCTTGCAAACACATGCAGGTGCACGTCTGCCATATCTTTTTTTTTTCCTGTCTTTTTATGTGCATTTTATCCCTGGTTTAATTTTTTTTCTTCTTTGCCTTAGTATTGGCAATTAGTTTTAGATGAGCTACAAAGCATACCTCTAGCATTGTAACATGCTCTTGAAGGGTTTCTTCTGTGGTATCGTCAGGTAGCTGAAAGGTAAGACTGTTGACAAGAATTTGAAACCAGTCGAGGCAAAAACTACCATTTTTTTTATTGCAACAAGAACTTGCCTTCAAGGCATAATATCTTTTTTGAGAGTATGCTTGTTGCATGTGCATCGTTAAGCCAGTGTTATAACTACCGTTTTTACACTAGTATTTGGCTGTAACAGTTATTGCTGTGAACATAAATGCATGGATTTCTGGAAGGCCATTTTTTTTATTTCATTAGAAAATGTGGGTACTGTGTAGAACGTGTGGTAAACCACTCGAGGTTCACAAGTGGTGCAGCTTGATTTCAGTAGTGCAGGCTCGATCGAACACTTGAAATGGCTGACTAGGCTAGTTGGTAATTCATCCTGAATGTAGACAGTGCTATAACAATGTGAAGGACTAAAAAACAACACTGGAAATTGGATTGGACAAATTTTTATTGGGTCCTCCAAAACACAGATCACTGTGTCGCGGGCAGCTCCCACGTGGGAACAGAGATGCTGAGCTCCTCAGCCGCCTCGCTGGCTTGGTGGATAGTCCAGAGCTGATATGCCAAGGACGAGCAGCGGATTGCTGCCTCCCATCTGGCAGAGGTAATGTTCGGTAAATGAACAAATTTCGTACACTGCCAAAGCAGTACTTGAAGAACATTGTTGTTTGTTTTTTTTTCCTGCTGTGCTACTTTTGCAATGTTTACGCGACTTGAAACTGGTACCATGGTCTTAATACAGTGCGGCACAGGCCTTGTTTCCATTATGTGCACTATACACATGAATGGAGGCAGGGTAGCGAGTTTACAGCAGCACACATCAACAGCCTTATTAAAGGGGTAAATGAACAGGAAGTGAGGAAAAAAGAAGGACGGGGAAACAGGGTTATCAGTAAAACAATGCAATACATTTCCATTGGAAATAAAATCAATAAGAACATGTGGTAGCAACCTATAACCCAAATTCGAACACCGAATTTTGGAGAATTGGGGATTTCTAAGGAATTGACTCTGGTAAATGCTAAATTAAAAAAATGTAAAAAGACACTAGCAGAATTTCAAGAAAAGTGAACTCCAAAAACACTGAGCCCTGAAAATAGGCTATGAATACACAAAGAGCCACACAACCCCTTTTCTTATAGCGATGACAGCAAGACTGTACAAAACTATTCAAATCGAATGTTTCTCTCTTCCCTTCAAGTTTTGTTAAAATGGAGACTGCAGTTTTCATTAAGATACAGGTTATAAAAAAGTTGAGAACAATGTAACTATGTTTAACATCGTAAAATGGCTCAGTGTATTGTAAGAGACCCTGAAGTGGATGGTTCCAGTTTAATTTCACCGCCTAGAGTTCACCGTGCCCTCAATGCACCCTACACATATCTTTTTTGCATAGTGTCTCTATCAGAATGTGACAAGGGCTGGGAATTGAAATAGCACCTCAGTACACAGCGGTAACTGCAATAATGGCCATTTCATGTTTTACACAGCTTTACAAACTTCACATTTGCACCTCATGCATCGCTCTAAATTGCGATAGTTGCGATTGCCAGCACCAAGTGAAAGATTTAATTATTCTTGCCAAGAAAGGCATTATCATTTTCGTTCAATCCACTTCGGTTACAAAGTAAAAAAAAGCAAAGTGGGGACTCACTTCATTTTTGTGTTTCAATTATTCAACTTTGTAGAAATTCAGAATGTCAGACAGGCACTCATTGTTTCCTTAGTGTCTGCATTTTTTAGCCATGCCTTTCTTATTAAGAACCATGAACCAACTAGCTCAGAAGGTCGTTTTATTTAACCAGTGACATAACATTTACTTTATTAGTCATGTAAAAAACGATCGAAGAGGCCCCGCACGGATGACCAAAGTGCAACACCCAATATCCTCCTAATATTAGTCCCACACTGTCACACAAAACTCGGCCAGTTTTCTTCATGATAAAAATAGTACAAAATGATAGCAACATAACAAGGAAGGACACAGGACAGGTGTGGAACTAACAACTGTCGCATTTGTTATACAGAACGAAATAAATGCAAGCAGTCCAACTGCGCATGCACACTCACATTACAGATATTTGTCACATTGTTCGAGGAGGCTTATTTCACAATCATGGATACAGATGAATGGGGTGGAAATGCAATGATTGTGGTTGCTTTCAATGCAGAGAGCATCTATGATTTCACATTACATTTGATCCACATGCCTGAAAATGACATGCACGCTATGTGAAGCTTTCTTTTATGGCACGCACGTGCTATGAAACATGCCTACCACACTTCCTAAATTTAAGTGGTACTGTGAACCATGCTGGTGCAATGCACATTAATCTCTTCACAGGAACAACAAATGTCTGTACATTGCACTTGTTCCCATGGCTTTATTCAAACAGTTTCTTCATGGCTACAGCAAAATACTTGTTTAGCTTGCAAGTACGCTCCTTAAGAATCTCTCAACTGTTTATCAATAGCGGGATTTTTGGTGTCCAAACTCTTTGCCCGCTCAAGGTCACATTTTGCTCTCTCATATTCTTGTAATTGAATTAGTGCAGTGCCACGCCGGTACAAGCCTTTGACATTATTTGGGTCTATCTCCAGTGCATGTGTGCAATTCTCAACGGCAATGGTCATAGGAATAATTCTGTAGCTGACAGGCCTGCAAGGTTTAGCAGACACTTCAGCTTCAAATCTTGAATGTCTAGTTTTAGCTGTGTGGCCACATCACCGTGCACATCATCGTGCTCTAATGAAATTACGTACTTGTATGACCAGCTAAAGTGTCTGAAGGCCCACCTGTAGTTTTTTGCAGAGAATAACTGACTGCCCTTATCCTTGTGTCCACAAGCATATTGCAGCTTGTCGGCACAAGTCATATCGCAGACATGGGGTACGATAGTGAACGTCTTCAGTTCTATTCGAACTGTGTAGCTCTTAGGGACCACTTCAGTCTTCTCAGGTGGCACTCTACAGCTCAGCAACACATCGCCAGCTTCCTTACGGCTATCCTTCGAAGCGTTCCCTTGTGCGCGGGAGACGAAGTCCGCCGCCGGCTCGGTTTCACTGCAGAGGTAGGCAGCTTTTGGAACGTACGGCACTGTAATATTTAGCGGTAAGGTAAACGATACATCGCAAACCTCTTCAGTGTTCATTGTCATCAAACATCTTTCGAGAATCAGTTCCACTTCGCTCGAAACATCCCCGACGACTAAAGTTTTAGTTCGAACGTCACTTCCAAGACCAACAATTCCTTCCTCGTCCGATAAAACGTTACACTGGCAAGTCGACTCATGCAAAGGCCTTTTCCCTATGTGCCCAGCCTTTACAATTATCCTTGCGAAATAACTTGTCCGGCGCTTCCCATTCTTCCAAACTAGAGTCGTTATCGGTCATTGCAATGCTTCAAATGCCGGTCATCCAAAAGCCACTACGCACTACGACGCACGTACAACGATGACACGATGGCAGTGTTGAAGACCGTAATTCAGAATCGCATTATCACAGAACACCTATATTTCGTGGTGTTTCTTGGTGCCTTGATGTTTCAGTCAGCAGCACTACGTTCCCGATGTTACCCCTTGGTTACACCATGATCACACTTCGAAGTGTTCAAGCCACAGAACACCTATATACTGCCAATGGTCAAGCCATGGGTGCCATAGAGTTTCCTAAACTCTATGATGGGTGCCATGGGTCAAGCCGATCAAGCCATTATTTATCAAACACACGGAGGAACCTTTTTCCTTCCTCCGTGATCAAACACGACGGCGGCAAGGTTCTATTTGGCGTTGCATAAATTTGTTGCCAGACTTTGGGGTGGTTGTTGCCAGACTGCCGCTAAATTTGGCAGAAAATTTTTCTCTTGTAGTTGTGGCTTCTCCGTAAGAGTTTAGTGCTATCCGCGGTGCACTTCTTGGCTGAAAACTTTTCTCCTGTAGTTGTGGCTTCTCCGTAAGAGTTTGGTGCTATCCGCGGTGAATTTTGCGAGTGCATGAGCGACGCTGGCCGTTTTAATTAACGGAATGGACCGAGCCTAGCAGAAGTCGAGCGCGGCGCTGCCGTGCAATTAAGAGGCCGTTTCAATTCCGTTTTAATTAACGGAATGGACCGAGCCTAGCAGAAGTCGAGCGCGGCGCTGCCGTGCAATTAAGAGGCCGTTTCAATTCCGCTTTAATTAACGGAATATACCGCGCCTAGCAGAAGTTGAGCGCGGCGCTGCCGTGCAATTAAGAGGCCGTTTCAATTCCGTTTTAATTAACGGAATATACCGCGCCTAGCAGAAGTCGAGCGCGGCGCTGCTGCGCAATTAAGAGGCCGTTTCAATTCCGTTTTAATTAACGGAATATACCGCGCCTAGCAGAAGTCGGGCAAATAATAATACAATATAATGACCTCTTAATTAATTAAAACGGAATTGAAACGGCCTCTTAATTGCACGGCAGCGCCGCGCTCGACTTCTGCTAGGCTCGGTCCATTCCGTTAATTAAAACGGAATTGAAACGGCCTCTTAATTGCACGGCAGCGCCGCGCTCGACTTCTGCTAGGCTCGGTCCATTCCGTTAATTAAAACGGAATTGAAACGGCCTCTTAATTGCACGGCAGCGCCGCGCTCGACTTCTGCTAGGCTCGGTCCATTCCGTTAATTAAAACGGCCAGCGTCGCTCATGCACTCGCAAAATTCACCGCGGATAGCACCAAACTCTTACGGAGAAGCCACAACTACAGAAGAAAAATTTTCAGTTAAGAAGTGCACCGCGGATAGCACCAAACTCTTGCAAAGAAGCCACAACTACAAAAAAAAAATTTTCTGCCAAATTTAGCGGCAGTCTGGCAACAACCACCCTTCCAGTCTGGCAACCACTTATGCAACGCCAAATAGAACCTTGCCCACGACGGCTTTTGAACTGGTCATTCAGTACCGTAGCCTCCTAAATTTCCCTTGCCTGCCGGATTATCGGCGGTCGCCTGAAAAGCGGCCGTAATCGGAACTATTGTGGTGGCGCCACTTAAGTATGAGTGTTTTCAAATAAGTTTTTACGCTTTTGGACCTTATATGCAACAAAAATAACGTTAAAAGTTTTAAAAAGGCGTAAACGTAGTTATAATTAACCCTACGTATGTGCCGCCATTATAGATGACAGGCGTTTTGCGCTCATTCAACAAACAACCCTTTCAATACACGGCATAGCCTCTGAAATTAGCAAACGCCAAAATTGCCGATCTCAAAGGCAAAGTACAAAAAACCTTATTCCTACGTAGGTAGCGTCGCCATAAATGATGGGCGTTTCGCGCTCATCCGGCAGGCAAGGGAAATCTAGGAGGCTATGTCAGTACTCGCGAGTCGCACGCACTTCGTTTGTCAATGATCTGCAGGGCTGCTGTCATGCTGCTGTACCCATAGAAGCGTGGAACTTGGGCAAGTTGGTAGGACACACGGAGGAAAGGAAAGGTGGTAGGATATAACAGCGCTCTTTTCTGTCCTTGTTTTTTTCGCTTCCGAAGTTACGAAGTAACTACTTCTAGGTTGCGCTAATCCTGCAATCAGTTGTACCCATAGAGTTTCCTCACAAAAATACTTAATACTTTTGTGAGAAACTTTACGGCTGTACCATAAAGTAATATTTTTCTGTTATTATATAAATAGCCTTCAAGATGATTGATTGATTGATTTGTGGGGTTTAACGTCCCAAAACCACCATATGATTATGAGAGACGCCGTAGTGGAGGGCTCCGGAAATTTCGACCACCTGGGGTTCTTTAACGTGCGCCCAAATCTGAGCACACGGGCCTACAACATTTCCGCCTCCATCGGAAATGCAGCCGCCGCAGCCAAATAGCCTTCAACATGGCAGACGTACACGCTTTTGCTATCTCAGAGATTATGTTTTATAACTGTAGTACTGCTGTGCTTTTTTTTTTGTCTGCTTTATGGTTGCTCAGTCGCGAAGTTACAATCCAGTACTGTCATTTGCCTACATATAAAGAAGCGATAAAATGTCAGTAATGCAAAACCAACGACGACCGCACAGCAAGAAAAAAATACAAACTTGTGCAAAAGTCGAGGCTATCATCATCATCATTGTTGCGGATAGGTTTGACTGTCCTTACTGCACACAAGTTTACTGCACAGCAAGCACCGTTAGCATAGAGCATGCATAGAGTTTCTTACACTTTGTGACAAGCTCTATGACAGTTAGCACTGTTGGCACAGTCCACAGTTGCGGTTGTGGCTTTGCAGGCAGATGTGTGCAGAGGAGTCATCCGGCCACAAATATCTGTGGGGTATTTGGTCGTGCTTTTTAAAATTAATTGTCACTCTTATTTCAGACTGAATTTGTCACTGCCCTAACGTTTAAGGAAGCAACTCAGAAATTCGACTGAAAATGATCAGCCAAGATCCTCGTATCGACTCGCTGAGCGTGATCCAGCTGGTGTTTACGTATGCTTTGAAGCAGCTGAGTGATGGAGTTAGCGTCAAGTCTTCAAAGGTCTAGCGGCAGAAGCTGCAACCGCGTTCACCAGGCCCGTTCAGTTGACAAAAACACTATTGCACTCAATTTTCTGCCCATCTATGGTCTACTTTTGCACGCCTTGTCACTAGTCGACATGACGGGTACTTTCGAAAGCGAGAGTTTACTGTACATAACAGTATTTACTGTGAGCGGCGCGGTTTACTTGCAAGAAAAGGAAGCGTTTTCCTAAATATAGTTGACAACAGACAGTACTTTTAGTCTTACCAAGGCTAAATAATAATACCTGACGCACTACCGCTCATCTTACTGCAGTTGGCACAGGATCTCGGGACGAGTTCACTTTTTCTTCCTATGTACACCGTAAACATTGAATGTGCCGTTTTTGCAGCACAGGTCTAATGTGTATTAAAAGCTGTTGCGTGTTTATATTCGTATCTAAACATCAGTTTAGCCACTTGTCGCTTTTTACTATTTTTGTTGCTTGTCTGTTCCTGCAATCAACAGGCTGTCAGGACATTCGCCCATCACAAACTATTGTCACTCATAAGCATCGTTAATAACTGCAGAAGATTGTGCGCTGTTTTTCTAATTGTTATGCTGGTTGGTACATAACTTATGCATTGAACCAGACAGGTCAATTTGTCAAAAAGCACTGGAGATGAGCCTCAGAAGATGTAAAGAATGAAGCCTCAACATATCAGTGAGGCCTATGCCATCTTTTTCTCCTACAGCCCTCTGTGGAACGAGTGGGTACATCTTACGAAAATCGCCAGGCCTGCGCAGAACCAGCAGCACAGTCACAGCGAAAGCTCGAAGAGCATCCCCTCCTCAGAACATGGCAGGCTCGATTGGGGCTACTAATGCCAGTACACGTGCAAGGTACCCACTACGCCATAAACCACCGTAACTTCGTTCAAGTAGGGAAGCACCAATTGTCGTGCTGAGGTTTGGCGAGCTAGCCACCACGCACATGTAAGTCATTATGTGCATTTTGTTTGTTTTGTGACTCATAAGTATGAAGAATTACGCTGAGTCTTTTAAAATGGGTTGGAAGCATTCAATGACCCACTCGTTGCACGATTCGCATTGGACGGCGCCTAGTTACTCTTTTATTCGTCTGGAACATCATATTACATATCTTGACGCGATTTCTTGCCCAACGCGACATCTGTATAGGCTATTCTCGCAAAGACGTTTCAAGCACCAGCGTGGCTTGGTGGTGGAATACTCGACTGTCATGCAAACGGCCCGAATGCAAATCCGAGCCATTCCTAGAATTTCTTTTTAATTCCTGGCTTTTTCATTCGCGTCCCCCTTGTCCCTCATGTTCTTCATTGCTGTTTTTGGCAGCAATGAAGTCCCTATCACAGCCACAAAGCAGATGTATACAGAGAGGCTGCTGAAATGGACTACTCGATGCTAGCATCAGTAGAGGTAGCACAGAGTACAGGAATATCCATTGGATAACAGGCTTTACATCGGTTCAGGGGTACTGAGCTCTGATAGCAGTGAAAATGAGTTTCAGAATCCCAGGTAGATTTTCAGCTGTGGCCAACCTAACCCTTGTGACTTCCGTACACCTTCACTGTCTTTGCTTGTGCCATTTTTGGAGATTTACGTGAGCCTACGAGAGTTTTTGTCGGGCCATATTATGTAATATATTGGCACATGCACCTTGACTAAGGTGAGGTGGTTTCTGTTATCGATCTATGTACAGGAAGTGCCCTCATCTAGATTGGGCTGGCGGAACAAAATCTGGGCTAAGCAGAGCGATACTTTGGCTGCCTTGTGTACACCAACCTTTTCCAGCCACTAAGGAGGTTTTTGGGTGGAGAAATGAAGATAATCTTGGTAAACAAACTATAACCACCATCATTATTATTCCTGTATGACACCTCCACTCTAATAGGCAATAATTAGTCAAAATGAGCTAAAACTTCATAAATCAGAGTTTGATAAAATTTTGAAAGTCTGATCATATAGAATTTAAAAAAAAAACAAGACATGCTTTAATTAAAATGGTATTCGATTCGTGTTTGACGCATTGTATATCGGCTTTTTGTCAGTGCAAAGACTGGTCCACCTGCAATTTTATAAAGAATTCTATTGAGGTTTTTAGCATAAACTGTCCTTTGTTGTTCACAAGCATCAGCAGCCCCCCCCCCCCCCCCCCCCCCCTTTTCTTTTTTTGCTACAGACTAGAGATTAGAACTCGTACAAATCATGTATACAATGTAAATATGGGCTTTATCGACACATTTCACATGGTATGGTTAGCTCGCTATCAGGCAGGTAGTACTCACTTCAACCAAAACACTTTATGTTGACTAATTAGTTCTATGCTACTGTAAAAGTAGTATGGAAGTCAAGCTGACTACATGCAAAGCCATTCCTATTCTGCCTTCGGCTTGCATAGGGTAGACCTCATCTATGGTGGATATTTCATTAGTACTAAAGCCGGAAAAGTATTTTACGAGAGTCTGCTGTAAATCTTTATTATGTATTGAACGTCGCCTTCTATGAGATCTCGAAAACTAATGAGGCATTCAACCCACAGTAGGATGCAACTTTAAAAAAACCAGGGAGGCCCTGCCCAGACAACTGAAGTGCAGTCGCCAGTCGCCTCTGTGACTAATAAAATGGTCTCGCTCAAGTACTTGGCGACATTTTTGAAAAGAAGCTGTGTCACCGGCCGTTCGGCTCATGACGTCCAGGGCTGGGCTCTATCGCGACAAAAGAGTATTGCGATAGTATTTTAGAGATACTTTTGAGTATCTGTATTTCCGTATCGAGATGCATTTGAAAAAAAAAATGCTTTTGTATCTCAATGGTGAAATGATTTCACGGTGTATCGATCGTATTGCAATACCATATAAGACATGGGTACCTTGTTACTTTTTTTTTTTTCATTACAGTTGAACTGAGGCGTGTTTCCAAGGGGAGAATACAACGTGTTTTTAAAGTAGTGTGAATAGCAAAATTTTGGGTGCAAGGCAGATTCAAGTATTGATGCGTCAGAAATAATCGAATAAAATATTTTTAGAATATTTAAAGAACGTTTTTTTCGAATACTTCGAAGCGAAATGGTAGAAAAAAGTCGAGGAGGATTCCTAAGCATATTGTTATGAGATAGCGACGTGGAAATGTTTCTTGTGGCGAGGTTGCTGAAGCGCTGGTGGGATGGTTCATAGTTGTCTTATCGAGAATGAGAAAATGCAGAAGCTGAATTGTATTTATCTACATTATTTGGTCCTCTGGTTTCAATGCTCAATGTACCTGTTGGACCACGCACGCAGCCCCCCCTCCCCCCCCCCCCCCCTACAGGGATCGAGATGTCCTTCACACCGTTCTCTCGTTTCGGACCGAGTGGGCTAAACGAGCAGACCACGGGTCAGTATACGGTCAAGCCGGTAGGGTTACTGTCGGACTGATTGTTGCACAGAGACTGCTACCTCCCCCCCCCCCCCCTCCCACCCCAAAAAACAACGAAACAAATAAGAATAACGCTCGACCTTGAGGGCCGACTCGGGTTCTGGCGTCCGACGACGGTTTGCTGCTCTCGTTATCTTCTCGTGGGAGCGAGCTGCTGTCTACGAAGATGGGCGTGTCTGGAAAAGAGAAGCAAAGGGAGAGTGAGGGTAACAAGTCTGCTCCACGATAGTTCCGTGCAGCGATGCCCTACAGCAGGCGCTCTTTCCGGTCCATTTTGCTTCTTCCGATCGTCGTGGCTGTTACTACAATGCAACCACAATACAACAGCGATGTCTAGGGAATAATTGGCTCATTCCTAAGTGCCAGGGGCGTAGCAAGGGGGGGCACCCAGCCCCCACTCTCACCCTTCCGTTTTTGTTTTATTTTTGCCATGACATAGAGTGAGAAATGACCATTTTAATGGGGTGCCCCTCCCGAAATCAAGCAAGTGCTCCGAAAAAAAATGTCTGATTACGCGCCTGCTACGCGCAAATCCTTCAACATTCGCCGCTGTCCATGCTTGATAAACGCGGAACAGTCCGGCGCTTGCTTGGCTGAACGAACGCGTGGCTTTCACATGCTGCACGTATACTCTGGTGGTCGCTGCAGCGACCGAGCTTGTGTAGTATGTGATCTTTGTTGCATGGAGGGCTGAGGCTCAAGAGGAGATACGCGGGGGGGGGGGGGGAGTCGGCGACGGAAGAAGGCGGGCGCTTTTCGGCGCGCGTCTCCTCTCCCGGAGAAACGGTTTCGTGGTCTTCCCCGCCGCCACTTCAGTCCTTCCGCGCGCGCGGTTGGAAGTATGCTACCCGCCGCTCACAGCTTCTGAACCCCTCGGCGGGAGGAGCGAACACACAACGAGACAACCAGGCATCGCCTCGATCACGTGAGTCTCTGCACGGACACGCTCAGAGTCCACAATCAATGCGCGGGCTGTGTTGGGCGCTTTCTGCCAGGACACGGTAGATTACGAGGGGCATTAACGTCTCAAGACCGCGACATGATTATAAGAGGCGCCGTACTGGAGGGCTCCGAAAGTTTAGACCGCCTGGGGTTCTTTAACGTACACTTAAGTATACATGGGTTTCAAGCATTTTAGACTACACCGAGAATGCGGCCGCCGCTGCCACAAAAGCGTAGCCAGAATTTTTTTTTTTTTTCTGGAGGTGTGGAGGGGGGGTGCCTCCTTGATTTCGGGGTGGGCACCCCTTGAAATAGTAATTTTTTACTCCGTATTCAATGGCGAAAAAAATTCGGGGTGGGGCACGGGCCCGGTATGCCACCCCCTGGCCACGCCCCTGCGCTGACGGGATTTGATCCCGCGACATGCAAGTCAGCAGCCGAACACCGTGAACATAGATCGACGTGGCGGGTAGGCAGAATGGACTCGATACACAATTATAATGACAGTCTCTCCGTATTCGGTACGTCGGCGGTATGACATGAATAGTTAACGTGTGGAAGCGAAAACACGAAAACTTTCTAGGCCGACTGCCTGATATTTTCTTATTTTAAAGTTTTATTCGACAAGTATAAAGCGGATCTCCGGACAATGACTGCTGCCGTAATTTTCACTGCTCCCAAGATCTGTTAGTTCAACTATGAGTACTCGAAGAACGTGTGCCCTCGGTGTTACGGGTACTTCTCTTTTTTTTTTCCCCCTTGTTGATTTTTGCAGTCAATACAAACAATAACGAAATAGCGGAGGAAGAAAAAAAAATCGGTAGATTTGACGTGCCTTGGGAATCGACGTTATGCGAAGCATGTGGAGGGAAGGTGACCGTGGTGTAGTTTTTTATACAGCGACAAATTTTGAAATGACGCTAAATATATGTACAAGTGTTGCTCGCACAGACATACGCTGAACAGTCGCAGATGTTTAAATGAGCAGTTCGACCACCCCTCCCCCTGAAATTTGCCTATTTAGCATGTGTATATTGCACACACGCACGCAAAATACGCACGTGTGTACGTAAACAATAAGGCTGGTTGAACCCATCTTCCGCCTTCCACCCCGAACTGCTGAAAAAAAAATTGCTGGCGGCGCTCCTGGCTGGCTGGTCCGACCTGCTCCATTGTGTATGTGTACGTACACGTATATGCACATACAAAATGTAAACATTAACGAAATACCTGGGCCGCGGGTTGAACCCCATGGCAATTACCCTGCCTGACCAGCAAAGCTTCTACGGCACGCATTACTGGGCTCGCCTAGATGTCAGGCTACGAAGAGTCGAAAAGGGCTTGCCGTCATTCTGCAGGACTGGCGGCAGGGAATCGAGCGCGAGAATGACGGCCAGCAGGGCGACGCGGCTGGTCGCGGCGCTGCTGTGCTTCCTGGCGTCGTGCACACTACGCGCTCGAAGCCAGATCCTGAACCCGCCGTACTTCAACCTCGCCGAAGGGCGCAACATCTCGGCCACGGCCACGTGCGGCGACCAGGGCACGCCGGAGCTGTACTGCAAGCTGGTCGGTGCCAATCTCGACAAGCAGGACAACCCGAACATCAACCTCATCCAGGGACAGGTACGGCTTTCCTCAAGCACGGACTGTGCAAAGTGAGTTGTGGCGGCTTTGTAGGCAAGGACGTGCTATTGAAGCAAGAATGACTCGCACATGTTTCGAAAAAGGAGTGTTGATTTTTCGTTCATATTGCTTGCAAAATAAATACAATTAAAAGTTTTCATCTATAGTCGGATACAGAGTTCTTCAAGTTCCTCAAAGGTCTTCAAAAGGCGACTTTATACTTTCAATAAGTAATGCCCCTGACACACGGGCACCCTGAAGTCCTTTAGACAAGGGGACATCTTTCGGAAAGGCGTTCGGGCGCAGTGACACACGACAAAGGAGTTACTCCTTTGCACTCGGTCGCATGAACTCCGTGAACTGAGCGGGACCGTTGAGGAGCGCGTGTTTGCACAGTCAATTGAAATAAAAGAGTGCAATTCTCGTGGCGGCGCATTTAAGACGCGGACAGGACAGATCGCATCTTGTGTGTTTGGATTCGCATCGAACGGATGTAGTTACAACAGCTTCTGCGCTGCGGCTGGTAGGTATATAAAATTAAAAGAAAAAAAAATATCGCCAGGCCTTCGCGGAATGCGCAGCATATGTCACAGTGAAAGCTGGAAGAGCGGTCTTTCAGAGCCTTTATTAAACACTCTTTGGGTAATGCTACAAGCACACATTGCAGGGTACCCACTGCGTCATAATTCATCACATATATATTGTGTAGTAGGGAGGCATTTCCTATACAATCCGTCGTCATTCTCCGGAGGAGCGTGGTACTCGCTACACACATGCAAGGAATTCTGTGCTTTTTTTTTCACGATGTGGCTGATGAAGATGAAGAATTATGCCAGAAGCTTTTGTGATGGGTCGGAGCATTGGATGGCACACTCGTTATGCATTTTGCGACGCCTGGTTGTTGCGTAGCTCTTTTAAAATGCTTTATTACTCATATTAACGCCACTCTCCTTTCCCGTCATCACATTTGCCTAAAGCCATGCAGTTAGCAACGAAGACTGAATATACGAACAGCGAAACGTAGTAGTAGTTACCGCGTAACTACGGAAGCGAAAAAAAAAACAAGGATAGAAAAGAGCGATGGCTTTCAACAATGATTTAATAGCGGAGTAATGTACATATAAGCGAAAAAAGAATAGAATAGGCATGCACTTTTATATTCTTGTTTTTTTCGCTTCCGTAGTTACGCTGTAACTACTACTAAGTCGCGCTGTTCGTATATTCAGTTATGTCCTACCGAATTGCCCAAGTTTCCGCGCTTCTGAAGTTTCAAGCTCCAGCGCGGCTCAGTGGTGGAATACTGGGCCGGTACGCGTCGGAGACCTGGGTTCGAATCACATTATGTCCTTATTTTTCATTTGCCTATAGTCTGTCTTTTTTATTTCGCGTGATAGTGGCTACGGACACCGGCGGCGGCGGCGGACAACTACGTCCCACGCGACCCTTGTTGTGATCTCATATAACAGCTTTCGCTGTAAAACTACGCCGTCATTTATATGTGGTGACCACGAATAAAGAAACGTATAAGATCAGCGTTGTTTTTTTTTCGTTGAATGCGTTGCAGGTGTGTGACTACTGCGATGACCCTCGGCGTGACTATCCGCCGCACGTCTTCGAGGGCAACGACCCGCTCGACCAAGCGGCGCGAGCATCCGGCACGCTACGCCATCGACGGCACCGAGCGATGGTGGCAGAGTCCGCCGCTGTCCCGCGGAACGCGCTTCAACGAGGTCAACCTCACCGTCGACCTCGGACAGGTAACGTCTGAAGGGGTCCATTCTTGGAACGAAAAAAAAAAAAAGAATCCGTAAACGGGAAGGCTGTGTGCTCCAGCCGATGTTTCGACAGGTGGACTTTGTCATCGTCGAGGCTATAGAACTAGTCTTGAAGAAGACTCATTTTAGCCTAATTCTAGACAAGGCTATAGACTTCGAGGCGAGAAGACAAGTCCACTTGTCCAAACGTCGGCTCGAGCACACGCGTCTTGTTTACGTTTTTTTTTTTGTAATCATAGGCTTACATCTTCCCCTTTCTGTCATTCTTAGAAGTACTTCGGGAGGGGTTAGTCGACGAGTGGCAGTGCCGTAAATCCAGGAAAACCGCAAAAGGGGACACTCAGCTTGCCATGGTGGCCGTCTGGTTGTATAAACATAGCTTTTATTTTACTTACGAAAAAAATAATAATAGCATCATGCTTTGAAGTCAAACTTGAAAACGAACATGTTCCCAGCTCGCATAATTGTATTGTTTAATTCGAATCCTCTTTGGAGCCGGTCGAGCGGCTGTTGCTATTTCAATAGTCTCACATAGCTGTGGGGTATTAAACACAGGCACACACCGTGAAATAAAAAAAAACATTAAAAAAGTTGAACGCGCTCTTTCTTAACTACGAAGCAGTTCAAATGTATACGATATCTGAAAAATAAATTTCAAGGGGGTACACTTGTAAAGTGTGTCCCCCTCACCCAGCCTGAGCACAAGCCTGGTCAAGACCCCCCGTGACATGCCCGCGAGTTAAGCTAGTGATATCGATGGAAAAGGCGCAAGTTTTTAACACCAAGAAAGTGGGGCAGCAGGATAGAACTGCACAGAACCGCGCGTCTCGCACACACAAGACAGTAGAAGGGTGGAACTGCCACACTTGTTTAAAAAATGCACCATGCGCTTTTACAGGTATAAGACCAGAGGACCAGCGCTGTTGTCTTGCTAGCGCGGTGTCTAAAATTTGCGCCCTCTCAAGACGAGTCCTTCTTATAAGCGGTTTCTAAACGAAGGTCGTTTTGCCGGTTCTAAACAGGACAAGTAAAACTGAGACAAAAAAAAAAAGACCAGTAAATGCGAGTCAATATTAAGAGTTTCGTTGCGTCATTTTCCTGAAGCACTAATTGGAAACAGTGAATGGGTTTATATTGATAAAATGTACTGTGAAAACTGAAATGACGTTAATTTCATTATTATTGGTATATTAATGGCGGAGAAAATGAAGGTCGAAAATTCATATTTAAATTTCGAGCCTTATCTTGACGTCACGGATTTCAAAGTGCATTTTGTCGTATTTTCGCGACATTGGCTCAACGAAACTTTATCAAACTATTATGACAGTTTTCTGGCCTCCTCAAAGGGTAATGTGCTTGATTTTAGCCAATTCAGAATTAATTAGGTTCTAGTAAACGCCGTCATAATGTGCGAGGCAAGGTATAGAATCTCCTTGGTGCGAGGTCGCAGTGATTGGTGCGGGAATTCCGAGGGCGTCGCCACCCGTGGTTTCTCCTCGCTAAGCAAGCGTCCTCTCGCGTCAAGCGAGGTTATTTGATTGATATGTGGGGTTTAACGTCCCAAAACCACCACATGATTATGAGAAACGCCGTAATGGAGGGCTGCGAAGATTTTCACCACCTGGGGTTTTTTAACGTGCACCCAAATCTGAGCACACGGGCCTACAGCATTTTCGCCTCCATCGAAAATGCAGCGGCCGCAGTCGGGATTCGATTCCGCGACCTGCGGGTCAGCAGCCGAGTAACTTAGCCACTAGACCACCGCGGCGGGGTGCGGCAAGCGAGGTGATTGTGGTATCCCGAAGGAGTAAATTGTTATGTTCTATCCACATCATAGAATAGAAAGTGGCTTTTTCCTGCTCGAAGAACTTGCACTGGTCCCGAAACGTCTCCATGTTTCCACCTTGATTCGGTCAACGATCGCATCTGCATCCTGGTCATGATACCTGGCCAGGCGAACTTTCGTTGAACCACAGCCGCTGGATAAAAAAAAAAAAAAAAAAAAACGAACTGCTAGCTTTGTAGTAATTTCCTAGTGCGAGCAAGTTTTCTCATTCTCTTTCGTGTCCCTTTAATGCGCCTTCCTCAGCCGTGACCTGTGGGCAGTCTTTTGTATTATTCTCATCAGTACGCGCTGTTTTCGCCTCGGTATGAATAACCATCTAGCTCGCATTTTGTAATTCAAAGAAATAAATAAAGTAGAAAATAATAGTGATAGGTTCTGTAAGCGAAAGCGTTTCAGGGATCAGTGTCGTAGCCAGAGAGTGGCATCCCCCATCCATGTTTTCTTTTTCATCTTTTGCCATGGCACACAGAGCACATAATGACACTCTGCCACATCTGCCCATACGGCCCCCATTTCAGATTATGGTGGTGCCCTATCCGAAGAAAAAGTTCTGCCTACGTCCCTGTCTGCGGTGACGAAAGACGCGAGGGTATGGTGTTCATGGGAAGAACTTCGCTCCGTGCTGCCCCGCCTTGATCCCCTTCGGCGGGACGGAAGCGCGCTCGCTTTCTTCGCGCTCAACTTTCTCCCCCCGTGGACCGTTCTGCCGACGCGGCCTCCTCTTCAGCAATATGTTCGGCTATTTGGTGAATGTTTGCTTGGTTTCGAACTCTCCGCATGCCCTTCTCTTGCGAAGGAGGGAGGGGCGCCTGCTGGCGACTCGCTGCCTCGGCACAAAGAGAGCACCGCTTCTGGGAATAGCAGCATCGCAGGCACCTCCCCGCCCCGGCTGTGGTGGCGGGGTCTGGGGTGCGTGCGCGCTGCGGCAAATGCGCGTGGTGGCACATGGGAGCGGCAGACGGGCACATACTTGGAGTTTTTGTATATGTGTTGGTCTGCGTAGTTTTGCTTTGCTGTGACCGGTGACATCCAGTGAACGGGATTGGTCTGCGCTGCATCAGTGACATGCATGGCAGTGGCGTAGCCACGGGGGGGGGGGGGGGGGGGATTTCGACGTCCTATCTGGAATATTTATTTATTTTATTTATTTATTACATACCGCGGTCCTATAAGGACCAAGCAGGAGGGCAGTGGGAAAGTTACATGTATCGCATGGTAGCGGTGAATACATATCACTTAGCATGTTTTGGTCATACACACGAACAGTATAGATATATAAACAAATACACACATACATACATTTATACACACATTTTCAGGTAAAAAAAAAACGTTGCACAGTGCAAAACTCATTGTAAACTCATTGAAAGTTGCAACGATCACACTGTCTCTAGGTCAAGCAAACAAAACCATTATACAGTAGAGCTCGTACATTCAAGGACCACCCTAAATTTTTCAACTTCAAAAAAAAAAATCAGACAAATACGCACTTTTCCTAACAATGAAAACCCACGACTAAAACATCCTCAACCGTTCGAGAGCTACACAAAAACTAGAAAAGCACCAGCAATCGGTCAGCAAACCTCTGAAACAAAGACGATAATTATTCTAGGGCACACAAATATTGTCGTGGTTGGGAGCATGTATATACATGCGTACACAAACGCACGCGCGAGCGTACTTAAAATATAGTTGACCCCCCCCCCCCCCCCCCGTAAAAAAAATGGTTTTGTTTCTCTTTCACTAGAGTGGTTCATGACGCGCAAGGGAACCGCGTCTTCATCTAATTGATGTTGCAACTATAGCCATGCGCAAGTTTCCCCTTCAGGGAGTGCGAAGGTTCGTCGCAGTGGCTGGAAAAAAATTCCAGGGAAGGGGGGGGGGGCATTGGCTTGCAGTGTGCCACTACGCCCCTGTGCTCGGGCGTGGTGGTGACCGTAGAGTAACATCATGGTAGTATATAGGTGTTCTGTGATAATATTGGCGACTGCCGTGCCGGCCGCTGTCGTCCTCGCCATAGCCGCGCTATGTCATCCAGCAGCAGCCGTGTGTCGCAATCTGCGGCCACTCCTGCGAGGCGCGCCCTGCGGCGCTATCTTCTCACGGGTCTTCGTGGTCGCAGCTGGAACTTGACACTCACGCATCGTCATCGCAGCGACGACGAAGCAAAGCGAGATCGTCTTAACGCGGCGCCGTGGCGAGCACTGTGACACAAGAGAAGGCAACTTTATCAATAAGTGCTCTGTGACTTTATCACGGCGCTCGCGTGAACGGCCTGCTTATCTGCCTGGGGCTTCTTTACCGACCGCGAGTGCCGCGTTCTTCGCTCCTGAGCGCGTCGAATATCACCGGAACGTTGACGCCACCCTCAGTGTATCGCGTCCATCTCCCTCGATGGTGGAAAAGGAACGCCTACGTTGGTGCAATGCCTCGAGTTCCTGCTCCGCGTTACCGAACCACAATGATTGCAGTGGTGTTATCCTTCTGCGTATTCAATAAATAGACGTTAAAGCGAAGCATTAAATCAATCCAGACATATCAGTTCTTCTTATAAAATTTTATAGTCATAAATATCTACACCGCATGTTAATTGCTAGGAGAAAATGTGATCTGAAATTTAATTCTTGAATTTTGCACCAAAACTTTAGCGCGTTAACGTACCGCGACGTCCGCTGCGAATTCCTTTGTATTTCTGCTCATTTTGCGGAAACTTGGTATTTCAAGATTTTAGGTTCGTTGGAGCTCGGTGCATACAATTTTTACCAATAAACGACTACGGATGCATTGGCGGACGCCGTCCAAATTTTATGACGGGAAGTTCACGGCGGCATCTTTTTTGAGCATTTTCTCGCTTACCATGCGTCTTCTCGAGGTAGGAGTGGCGCTTTCGGCATCGTTACATCAAAGCCCCTTTACGATACATTCTAGAACGAGAAAACTATATGCGAGCCACAAGTCCCTCCCTATAGTTGCTATATAAGGTACTCGGCTGCTGACCTGCAGGTAGCGGGATCGAATGCCGGCTGCGGTGGCTGCATTTTCGATAAAGGCGAAAATGTTGTAGGCCCGTGTGCCAGATTTGGGTGCATGCTAAAGAACCCCAGATGGTCGAATTTCCGGAGCCCTCCGCTGCGGC